TGATTCAATACCTACATATTCCGCTTATATTTCTTGGTGTTGGAAGTAAACCTATTATTATCGAAACACAAAATTAAGATATACTTTTTGTTATTTATGAAATATTGTATAATCACCGACTTTCAATATCAAAGATAGATACAGTCTGTTTCAAAATTATAAACACACCCAACTTTTTTCAATAACAAAAACATTAACAATTGTAATGTATTTATTATATTAGTATGTTGTTTACAACATCAATTTAAACATTTTCTGAAAGTTTTAGAGCAATCTGACAATTACAAAAAAAATTATCACAGATTTTCAATTTTTGAGTGTTTCAAAAATATAAACACAGGTGTATAAAATTAGTATAATAATTTTTTTATTAATTATTGGTTTAATTAGTTGTCACCAGAAGGGAGTATAACTCATTACTAAAAACATAATGCCAATTTTAAATGGTTTTTTTGTGATTTAAACCAATGCCTTGTGGAAAAACACTAACAGAGTTGGAAATATGTGAAATTTACCAACAAAAAGGATCAGGACAATCTCTAAGACAAATTTTGGCAGCTATAAATAGATTCACATGTGTGAAAAATGTGTTAACTTAGGGTGAATATTATGGCAGAAATAAGTGATGTGGAAGGCCTAAACTCCTTACACCTAGAAATAAAAAAAAGGTTTTTCAGCTACTGACAGTCAACAAGTTGTCTGTCAGAGAAGCAGCATCAACATTGCCAACTGCAGTTTTACCAGCAACTATATGGAGATGTATGCATAATCATAAAAATGCCAAATTTCCAAAAATGGCTGCCAAACCAAAATTAACACAATTGCACAAAACAGCTAGATTAAAGTGAGCCAAAGACAAAATGACATGGAAAGAGGAGTGGAAATGAATAGTCTTTTCAGATGAAAAAAAGTGGAATTTGGATGGACCTGACAGTTATAGTTACTCTCGATCTAAATTCCGTTTTCTCCAAAATTGTGTTAAAAATAAGCTTTTACCACAGTATTTATAGAAGGTAGAATGAATTCAGAAAAGTATCAAGAACTGTTGTATCAAAATTTAATAACTTTTGGATTACTTATTGGGAGAGACAACTGGCAATTACAACAGGATAATGCTGTCATTCACACAAAGTCAACTAAAAATTGGTTTGCTGAAAAAAAATTAATGTAACTGATTGGCCATCATGTGATGGAGCCCTGATATGAACCCAATAGAAAATGTTTGGGGCATTATGAACTGTCTTGTTTATGGCCAAAACAGAAAATACAATACTGTAAATGAACTGAAATTAGCTATCATGGATTGTTTGAAAAATATTAAACAAGAACAATTTCAAAAACTAGTAAAATGTATGCCTGATAGAGTATTTGAACTAATTAAATCAAATGGTGGATTTACAAAATATTGAAATGTCACAAATCTTTTTTTTGTGCACAAGTGTTTATACTTTTGAAACAATCAAAAATTGAAAATCTGTGATAATTTTTTTTGTAATTGTCAGATTGCTCTAAAAATTTCAGAAAATGTTTAAATTNCTTTCACTTGCAGATATTCAATTTTGCTACACAGGCAGGGTAATGCAGTCCTTTAGGACAATATCACCATAGTTAGGAGAGTCCACAACCAGCCCTAGCCAAATTTTTGGAAATGCTGGAGATATATAAGTATGGTGTACAAAAGAGTGCATAAACTATAGTAGGGGTCCCCAAAGTGGTCGATATCGACCCCTTGGGGTCAATAAGAGTTCTCCAGGGGTCGATTAATACATGAGGGTCGAAAGGGAGTCGATTAATACCAAACAGGATCAATTAAACTGTCTAGGAAAAAAATAGAATATTCCAATAAAAATTTGAAATACGGATATGCTCAATAACATTACTGACTAAAGTTATAACTAGGGTAGTCAGTAATGTTATGGCTAGGCTAATGTTAGATAATAATGTTAGTGGCGTAGGCTAAGGCGAAACTCTTCGCCTTAGCCTACGCCACTTTAAGCATGTGTTACTCTGTTTCCACGCATCTGGCCACTGTACTAGTGTTGCAAACATGTTATGAACTCTAATAGTTTATTATACACAGACATACGTTGCACTGTTACACTCTAGTAGGGTTGACACTCTAAGTATTTTATATCTAAATGTAGCTATTTTGTCCTTTACAGAGAAAATATTGTAATATATCGAAAATCATTAATATAGTACAAAAGCGTTTGCAAGAAAAACGTTACAATTGTTCAAGCTCGAAAAATCATTATGGCCTTCCAAGTAAAAACGGAGCTATTTAAATCTTCACTGGCACGATCTGATTTTAAATATTTTTCAAACTTGCAAATACTAAAAGAAAATGAAAATATAATCTCCATATAAACCGGGGAGGAGACGAAAGAAAGAAAGAAAATGAAAAAATTTCCGACCGTGATTTGGAGATATATATTAAGCATATTGATAAATTAAGAGAAGACTTTAAAGCACGTTTCGAAGAATTGGAGAATATTGCATGTTCCTGAGTGGTTTGCTAATCCATTTGATGTAAAAGTAGATAATGAAGGTAGTGAACCTGGGTTAGAAAATGAACTGAGTGAAATATGTGTAAATTTGGAAGCTAAAGCATTGTTTAAAAATAAAAACCTCAGTGAATTTTGGAGCAATAACAATATTGCCCTAAATATCCCAAGCTCAGAGCAGAAGCCGAACCTTTCTTACTTGCATTCCCAACTTCATACATAGTTGAAGCTAGTTTTAGCCATGCAAATGCAATTTTGACAAAACAGAGAAACAGATTGAAATTGGAAAACTGTGGTGATTTGCGACTATAACTTACCAATTTTCAACTGCATATCAATAATCTTGCTGTTTCTCTTCAGACTCATCCATCCCACTAATATCAACTATTTTAATAAAAAGGCATGTCAACATATTTTTAAGGAATTCAGTAGTAGTCGCAAAATGACAGTAAGAGGTTTTTCATCCAATATAACTTATGTTTTCAAAGATAAGTGTGTACAGTATTTTACGTATTATGACACGTACAGTTTAAGAACTATAGGCAAATTTCCATCTATCCATAATTTGCTATTATTTTTTAAGATCATAAATCAGTGAAAAAGATCTCCTTTTTCTGTTAATGTTATTGGATGTATTTTAT